GGGAAAGGTGAACATCAAGTAAACCTGAAGGGGCGAAATCACCGTCTTGCGACCGTAGAGATCGGGTAAGGAAGTCGGTTACGCGAGGGCAAGGTATTAGAAGCTCACACATCTATGGTAATCCACATGATCCACTTATGTTTGTTATAATCTAAGGGTGTGTAAAATCTATGTCTAAAGCTTAAAAGCTAAAATGGAATGCATGTGAAAGAAAATGCAGGGAAAAGAAGGAAGATTTTACAAAGTTGTGCTGGCTTAGGCCCCGCGACCTAATGCCTACGTATCCCTTTTAAGGAATCAGAGCGTCGTAGTTCGGCTCAAAATTTTCCATTGTTTGCAATGTTTTTTATGAACAATTGTAGTAAAGCATGTCCTTTTTCAAAAGGTATTAAAAGAAAAAGAAAGTCCGAAGACAAAAGAGTTTGAATTGATTAGTATTTTTTACCTTGAAAAAGGATTTGAGTAGTGTTAAAGTGTTTTGGTAAGTTTGAAACAAAAAAAAAGTTTTAGTTTTAATGAGATACAAAAGGGAAGAAAAAGTCTAAGGGGGTACTGGCAAAATAGTCCTAAAGTTATCATGAAAAGTTGATCCTATAGTTGAGGATAAGAGAGGGAAATATCTACCTAATATTGTCATGCATGGATAAAGATCCTAAGGTATATTTAGTTCAAACTTAGAGAAGAGTCAACTAAAGATCCTATAGGGATCACACAAGAGGGGAATCTAATAAAATAAAGGAGAAAGATGATAAAACATCACACACAAAGATGACAAAACATCAAGAAATATGTATCAAGTATAGATGGAAAACATCTAATCATGGATGGTCAAAACATCATGCGTAGGTGAGATGCTAAAACAATCATACAAAGAATGAGATGGAAAAACATCATGCATTCGTGTATCAAGATGACAATACATCAAGTATAGAGAGAGAGAGAGATGATAAACATCACAAAGATGACTACAACATCATGGAAATACATCACATAGATGATTAAACATCGCTTAGATGAAAAACATCACAAAGATGATAAAACATCACATAGATGACAATACCACAAAGATGATAAAACATCACAAAGATAATAAAAAAATCAAGAAAATGATAAAACACCATAAGATGATAAAATATCACAAAGATAATAAAACATCAAGAAGATGACAAAACATTGAGTCTCTAAGAAAAGAGAATAATGATAAAACTTTAGGCAGGGATGATAAAACATTAAGAAATGGAATGATAAAACATCAGGCAAAACATCAAGAAAGCATGGATGACAAAACATCAAGCATGGATGGCAACACATCATGTAAGAGATAAGAAAAAATCATGTAAAACATGACAAAACATCATGTATGGATGACAAAATATTACATAGATGATAAAATATCAGGCATGGGTGACAAAACATCACAAAGATGATAAAATATCAGGCATGATGACAAAACATTACAAAGATGATAAAACACCAGGCATGGATGACAAAACATCACAAAGATGATAAAACATTTGGCATGATGAAAAAAAATTACAAAGATGATAAAACATCAGGCATGGATGACAAAACATCGTAAATATGATAAAACATCGGGAATGGGTGAAAAAACATTACAAAGATGATAAAACATCAAGAAAGCAAACATACAAAATAGATACCTAAACACTAATCAGTAATAGAAAAGAGACGGCGAAGCATCAACACCTAACAATGATATCAAGGATCAAAGTAGGATAGAACACATATAGAGATGGAAAAAAAATCAACATATCGAGAATAAATGTCAACACATCAACAAACATACAAGACATGGGGCAAAGGGAACATACAAAGCATACAAAGGGAATGGACAAAGGAGGCAAGAAACATTGTCCAAATTAAAAAGTAAGGATCAAAAGAAGAGAGATCAAGATTGAAGAATTATGCCATGTGTGACTTGTATAGTAAGTTAACTCGAGATGAGACTCAAGAGAAACCAGGTAAGAAGAAGAAACTTCCTACACAAGGAAATTCACCTAATTGATGAACAAAATCATCTAAGATGGATAATACTTGTCTTAAATCAAATGAAATTGGTAAAGCTCAAGTAAAAGTGCAATGACATCTTGTATATCATGGGGTGATGATGATACCCTCACAAGACATCAATCATGAACTTAAAGACTCGAGTAATGTCAACAAGATAACATACACAAGTGTCATGATATATGGCAAAAGTATAGTCCCTTGATGCATAAAAGCAACGTGATTTAAATAAATCAAAGGTCGATGTTCTTAGATGTTATGGATAGTCGCCAACATCAAGATACATACATGGGACATGGCACAAAAGCTCATGAGACAATCACTAGATAGTGATGCTTAAAACACAAATAGAATATAGCTTCTCATATATCACCATGTTAGTTAGTAATGAAGTACTTAACCAAGGATCAAATAAGCTGGAGAAATAATATGAAAAAGAGATGATAAAACATTAAGATAAGAAATTATTTTAAAAAATCATGATTAAAGATGGAAAAACATCAAGCACAAACTCATTGGTAGAAACCTAACTAAATAAGAAAAGAGATGGTAAAACATCACATAATAGATGGTAAAACATCACACAATAGATGACAAAACATCAACACATAAAAGATAAGACATTAAGCACACACATATTAGGATGACAAAACATAACATCTTAAAGAATGAAGAATGATAAAACATTAACACCTAACAATAATATCGAGGATCAAGGTAGGATAAGAAATAATGATGAAACATCGTATGAAAAAACGTACACCTAACAATGATATCAAAAATCAAAGTAAGGTGAAAAATAAGAGATGGTAAAACATCATACCTAATAATGATATTAAGAATCAAAGTAGGATAAAAGATAGGAGATATAGATTAGACAATCACACATCGCACATGAGAAGTAGAGACTTACTCAAGATATAAGGTACTTAGATAAAATACCTAAATAAAACATGCTTAGATAAGAAAATAAAGAAGAACATGCACGTAAGTAGACACCTAAGAAAGTAGTCAAGTAGAAGAGGAGATAGAATTTAAACAATAAAAGCATGCTTACAATGGTAAGACTTTTAGTCATGCATCAATATGCAGGAATGAGAAATAAAGAGAGGTATGATGATAACTACAGAGAAGGTCTATTGCCTCTTCAATGCGCATGAGATAAGAAAACTCTATCGAACACCTCCTTGAACTACCTCAATCAACCATCAATTAGGAATACCCGGGTTGCATCAAGGATCGATCGCTAGATCATAGCACGAGTGTCCATAAGATAAATAGAATACTTGGTGTATGGGAGTTGAGTCAAGTTATGATTAACCAAGGGGTGTACTTGATTAATCTCGTGAGAGTAGGTGCTCCTATCCTCAACCATGAGACCCTTTTGTGCATAAAACACTTGGTATATGGACCAAAGTGATTGATTCGGGTTATGATTAATAAAGGACAAAACTTGATTAATCTCGTGAGAATGTCCATGCTTAAACTCAACTATGAGACCCTTTTGGTGCATGGAAACACTTGGTATATGGACCAAAGTGATTGATTCATGTTATGATTAATCAAGGGCAAAACTTGATTAATCTCGTGAGAATGGCTATGCCCAAACTCAACTATGAGACCCTTTAAGAAAATGCTTGGTATGTGGACCAAGGGGGGAAGAGAGTTGCTTCAATGCATAAGATAAAAATTAAAATCCCATACAAGATGGCTATATGCATGCTCTTGGAAAGTGGGACTAGCGTGGCTCCAGTATTCTAAACGACCAATTGGAACAACCGATTGAATAGTTGTCGCTGTAGAAAAGTCCAGGACCAAACTATGAATGTGTGCAAGTGTGCATTTGTAGGTGGATACCTTTTCATTGATGATGAGCCCAAGAGGAGGTCGTGTGTATTTATAGGATGGCATATGCATAATATAAATAATTAAAACATATAAATAAATAACAAAGAAAATAAAATTCTAAGCTATTACAAACCATATAGGAATGGGGGTAAAAGTTTATGAATGGGATGTATCAAATCGATAATACTATTAAAAGTCTAAATAAAAAAAACAATACAACTCAATCCAAAAATCAAATAACTACTTAAGTCAAATCTATTTAATAAAATTAATTAATAAAGTAATTAAGTATATTAAATATTTTTTTAGTGTTTTTCATTTAAGATAAGAGAATATGTTTTTGTATTTTTAATATAAGATAGAAATTAAAATAAACAAAACAATACAAAATAAATAAAAAGGCGGAGTGAATAGGCCTGAATAAGCAGAAATTGGGGGTGCTGAATAGCAAATTCGTCACAGGCCCATGACTGAGCTCGCTGGTCTAGTGTGGGAAGCTTCTGAGGGAGAAACGTGGATGTGTAGGTAGGGAGCGCCATATCTGATGATGGACGAAAGATGATGTTCTCATGGGTGGAGGATTAAGGCGTATGATATGGTCGGAGGAGGTAACTGCATGGAATTAATAAAGATTAGCCACAAGGGTGGTGACAAGTGTCACCACTGGATTAGTTTCTCTTAACAAGTTTAATTAACAAAACTGATTGTTGTAAACAAATTTTAGTAAAAGAAAAAAATTAGAATCTCTCTTTCTCATTTCCTATTGACTCTCTCGTTCCCTCTCTATGTGTTAAACAAAAACAAGTAAACCAAAATAATAAACATCAGTAAAGCAGATCAACATGGTGGTCACTTCGAAGGTCGACAGTGGTGATAATGAAGATCACGGGGGCACTGAGGCGACTTGCTCTGATTTTTGGTTTTTGTTAAATATTCTTGTTTGCCTCCTCCTTCTGATTTCTACTCTGCAACTTCATTTTTCAGATATTGGCTGGTTGAACGTAGATGTGAAAGGGAAGATTTGAAACCCTAGGCGTTCTGATCTGTAATTTTCCAGCGACGATGATGATGATGAAGGTTGACATGACTTCTGAGTCACTAAAACCGTACTTTTTTATATGAAACTAAGATTTTGATGGAGGGAAACAGTGACAGTGACGGTGATAACGCGGCGAGGATGTCACTTCTGAGCTTACTCTGGTGAGATCTCTCAAATCTTTCCCTCTCTGTTCTCTGAGACTTTTGAAACTTTTCTCTTCGTCTTTCTCAAAACCTCTTCTTAAGGATTTGTGTTTTAGGAAGATGATGATGTGGTTAGGGTTTTGCATGCTTGATAGCGGTTATGGTTATGTTAGCTTGATTGCTTGCTTGCTATATATTTTTCTGCGTGTGATCTTTTTTGAAAGGTTTGAGGAAGGTGATGATCACGATTTAGGTTTGTGATTGCTTGTGCAGCTTTTTGACTTTGTATATGATTATCCCCCTTGATTACAGTGTAATGATTGCTTATATAGTGCCAATGATTTTTAGGGTTTTACTTGGTGGACTCAACAATTTTCCTTGACATGCTTTGTGATTTCTGTATTGGGCTTAAGCAATGTGTTTCTGTTTGTGATTTCTGGAATCTGAGTTGTTAACAGGCCTTGTAGAAATTTTCCTTGGGCTTAAGCATTCTTGATATGTTTATACTTATAAGATGTTAACTTTTTATTGTTGGGATGAAACTTGAATTTTGTACTTGCCTCTGTACTGTGTACCAAATGAAAATTGTTTGTGGTTTGCAGTAAATGGAATTTTCAGCCCATGAATGAATCATTGTAATTCTAATTTTGAAACAAACAATATGAGGGTTTAGTGTTGCTTGAACATGATTGAAAACCACTCCCTAACTCTGATTCCTACACCACCCTAAGGATGAAATATGGAAAACTCTTTGAAAATATCTTGTTTATACTCATGTGATGGTGTGGAAAACAGTAAGGCAATTTACAAGAGGAGACCATGGATAAACTTGGAGAGCAATGATGAAACTTGAAGAAGAAGAAGAAGAAGAAATCTTGCCATAGAATCTCATAGGACAAATTAGAAACTCTCATTGATTTGTCTTATAAAACTCTTAGGGCTAGAAATTATAAAAGTTAGGACCACATGTATTCAAGATTTTACTTTTTGTAATCAAACTTGTAAAATTTGTAATAATATGAAAATTTTGAGAAATTGTTTGAATGCCGAATAAAGAATTTGAATGAAAATTAAAACATTGCAAAGGACTTATGTAGAATTGATATACTCTGTAAAATTAGGCAATAAGATACTTGAGTTCTTGTGATATTTAAGAAATATGTAATTTTCTCTTAAAGTCCTTATGTAATGAATATGATTTTGAATTTAAGATACAATAACTGCCAAATCCTTTCTCACTTTTCAACTTAAAAATGAAAAACATTCTAAGCAAGAAAACATAGTAACCAATTCCATTCAATAACCTCTTTTGAAAATCAACCTCCTTAAAAGTTTCTTTACCAAAAGACAACTTTTAATCATAAGATAAGAAAATGGTGTACTCTAAAAGCCCAAAGATTTTCACTTGGATTTGTATCACATCTTCGCCACTTGAACTCAACAAATTAAATCAACAAGTAACCAACCATTTCTTGATCTTAGAAATCGGATTCCCTTCTAATGAAAATCAAAATAGGATCATCTCTCGAAGAACGATATCTTGACTTCGAAGAAACGTTGAAATGGATAAAAAGGGAATCAGAAAATAGAAATTCTAATGATCCTCTGTAGATGATTAAAAGCGTACTGAGACAAAACCCATAACACTTCAAGAGTTTTGTCAAGAAAGAAACCATATATTCCAATAATCTAAACCCTAGCACAATAGTCAAAAGATGGGAGAAAAATGTGATTCAAGATCAAGACACTTGCAATTTTCAATTCTTTGACGACACAGAGAATCAATGGGATATCATGAGGCCTGAGAAGTCGTGGCAACCTGAATACATGAGAGAGAGAGGATATAAGGACCTCCTTGGTACTGATTGATAATACAACTTAATTCCACAACTTGAAGAAAGTCGAGAAGATAAGAATACCTTGATCTCGTTACAATGCATGAATGTATATGGTGAAACATAAGCCAAAAAAAATCTGAAAAACAAGAAGGTAAATTTTGGGGTGCAACAGCTGCTCCTATTCAATCTTCTTAAACCTGGTAAGTGAGAAAACGGACAACTTTCTAATGTTCATGGTGGAAGAGGATTGAATACTAAAAGAACCTTAAAATTTACGCTCTTGTGCAAGAGATTAAGCAATAAGTGTAATTGCATTTGTGTAAGGACGACATCAAACAAACTGGATTAAATAGGTGAAGATTAGTGAATATTGAATCTTACCAAAGAGCTCCAGGCAATACTGGACTCCAGAGACATACCAAATGGAAATTGGATTTGAAAAATGAACCTAGTCGGGACTGGACTCACCCTAATGGAAATAGTGGATGCTTAAAAGAATGCCTCAAGACCAAAATTGGATCACAAATTAAAATGACAAGATAAAACTAAACCCAATAATACTAGATAAAACCAAATTCTAAAGAAAGTAATAGAACAAAATTGGAATACTAATTGTAGAAGTGAGGTAAGACTCAAACCAAGAAGATTAGATAAAACTAGATTTATGCATAATGTATCAGGTCAAAATTAAGACAGATATGGCAAAAAATGAGACAATACTCCACCCAAGAATACTAGGTAAAACTATATTCTAAAGAATATGTCAGGACAAAACTAGAAGACAAATCACAATAGTGAGATAAAACTCAACCCAAGAAGACTAGACAAGACTATACTTTAGAATGATAAGCCAGGACAAAACTAGAATACAACTCACAATATTGATACGAAACTCAACCCAAAAAAACTAGGTAATACTAGGTTTTAAAAGAATGTTCCTGAACGAAACTGGAACACAAATCACAATAGTGAAATAATAATCAATCCAAGAGGACTAGATGAGACTAGACCCAGAGCAGTGTGTTAGGATAAAATTGAAACACAGATCACGATAACGAGATAAAACTCAACCCAAGAAGACTAGATAAAACTGAGCTTCAAAAGGATACGCCAGGATGAAACTGGAATGCAAATATTAATATTGAGATGAAACTCAACCCAAGAAAACTAGGTAATACTAGGTTTTAAAATAATTTTCTCGGAAAAAACTGGAAGACAAATCACAGTAGCGAGATAAAACTCAACCTAAGAAGACTAGACGAGACTAGATTCTAAAAAATGCGTCAGGACGAAACTGGAACACCAATTGAAATAATGAGATAAAACTCAACCCAAGAAAACTAGACGAGACTAGATTCTAAAAAAATGCGCCAGGAAGAAACTGGAACACCAATTGAAATAATGAGATAAAACTCAACCCAAGAAAAATAGACGAGACTAGATTCTAAAGATATGAAACATATTTCCTTCTAGAGATAATCCTCTCAATGAACAGAATCACCTCAGATGGAAATACATTTCCAGTAACAGGCCTTTCATAACCAAGGGGCATGACATGTTGTCTAACTGATCTGGGGGAAGTCAAGTCAAGATTCAAGGAATCTCTCAAAAGTGCCGAATAGCCAGGGACTGACCTCCATCTGAATCACTTGGGGAATTGAATATGAGTTCTAGCAAAGGGCCACGTGTGATTAAGAAAACATTCTTTAGCATGTTACAACACTTACAATGAAAATTATCCGCACCCTGTGAACACGGACATAGTTGAAAAATACTACGCATGAAAGAGACCCGCTAGGTTTACAGGCCTTAGCAAAAATAAGGGCATCGCGGAGAACCAAAAAGGTTCGGGCAAAAATTAGGGATATATATAAAAAAAATTACACCCGACAAGTCGAAAACCTGAAAAGGCAGCTTGGGTAAAAAAGGGTATCCCGGTGGACTGAAAATCTGAAAAGTCAGTCCAGGCAAAACTTAGGGATTAAACCGTATGACTATGTCCCGTCATCTCATCACTTGTCTATTAGTGGAAGGCTTATCACTCGGATCGGTGTTTAACAAGAACTCTAGGAGTCGAGAGGATGTTCAAGTCATCCATAAATCTCCACAGAGTAGTTTCCACGGAATTATCTCTACAGAGCTATCTGCACAAGCTCATCTTCAACAGAGATACATTCCCTGCAAGTCTAATATGTCTTCAAGACAGAAATTGGGGCATCTTCCAACTGTTAACATGATCATACTCACCAGCAGGTCACCCTAGCAGATAAAGGAATATGATCTTTTCCCCAACAATATCGCCAACCTAGGAGTCCCAATCTCCATAGGATATTACGGCATCAGTACAGTTTATGGAAATTCTCTTCCCCAACTGAGCTTATTCCTCTAAAACTGTAAAACCCTCTGCAAATTTCTTTCCTCCAGCAGCGCTCATTTCCCCAACAAGAGTTTTCCTCAGCAAAGTGTTTCTCTCGCAGGTTTATGGTTTATTTCCCCAACATATTACAGTCTCCTCAGTTTGAGTCTATTTCTATAACTACCAAAAAATTACCGACAAAGGACAGTTAGGGTTGCTATCCCCGGAGAGTCGCTACTGAATCGAAAACCAGACCAGGTGTCGTTCAACCTTATTCTCTCCAGACGAGTCGGCATCCATATCGTAAACCCAACCGGATAGCACCTCGAAAGATTATCCATCTCTTTTATCCCCAGTTAGGGTATATAAGAATTAAATTTCCCAATAGAGAGAGGAACGACCAATGTTCCTAAACCCTTCTATTCCCAAGAAGAAGTCAAACATTCCCAGTGAAGTATCCTGCAAAACATTAAGCAGGAATCCCCCAGCGGAGTATCCTCTAAAACAGAAAACGGGAATCTTCAGCTAAGACATTCTAAATAAGATTGAAGATTCATACTCTTCATCCCCAGTGACAGTCAGGGATTTATTTTCCCTAGCCAAAGATGTTACACGAAACTACCGTCACCGTCAGCGACATCTTACATCTCGTACATCATTTACAAAATATCATAGCATATGCATATGAAACGCATATAACACAGTCTCATTTATTTTGAGAACATAATTACGCAATGCATTACATACGTCATGACATTGCATAAAGACTAACTTTTTCTTTTCAGGTAAAGTTTACAAACAGACAGATATCATCAGCAATGTTCAAATAGGTCAAAGATTAATTCCCGAAGCAAGTCGGGACAACTTATCTGCATGACCAGGTGGTATGAATTCCCAAAACAGGTCGGGTTTATCACTAACAGAGAATTGTAGATTAATTCCCAGAACAAAACAGGGAGACCATCTGCATGACCAAATGACTTCCTTCAAAGATTTACTCTGAAAAACATCTCCTAAAAAACATTTCCTCAGAGACTGAATTCCGACAAGCATTTCCTCGGAGACTGAATTCTGACAAGAATTTCCTCGGAGAGTGAATTCCGACAAGCATTTCCTCAGCGACAAAATTTCGACAAGCATTTCTTCAAAGACTGAATCCCGACAAGCATTTCCTTAGAGACTGAATTCCGACAAGCATTTCCTTGGAGACTGAAGTCCGACAAGCATTTACTCAGAGACTGAATAACGGAAAGCATTTCATCAGAGACTGAATTTTGACAAGCATTTCCTCGGAGACTGAATTCCGACAAGCATTTCTCGGAGACTGAATTCCGACAAGCATTTCATCGGAGACTGAATTCTGACAAGCATTTCCTCGGAGACTGAATTCCGACAAGCATTTCCTCAGAGACTGAATTTCGACAAGCATTTCCTCGGAGACTGGATTCCAAAAAGATTTTCCTCAGAGACTGAATTAGGACAAGTATTTCCCCAGAGACTGAATTCCGACAAGAATTTCCTTGAGAGTGAATTTCGACAAGCATTTCCTCGAAGAAAGAATTCCGACAAGCATTTCCTCAGAGACTGAATTCCGACAAGCATTTCCTCAGAGACTGAATTCTGACAAGCATTTCCTCGGAGTCTGAATTTCGACAAGCATTTCCTCAGAGACTAAATTCCGACAAGCATTTCCTCAGAGTCTGAATTCTGACAAGCATTTCCTCGGAGACTGAATTCTGACAAGCATTTCCTCGGAGACTGAATTCCGACAAGCATTTCTTCGGAGACTGAATTCTGACAAGCATTTCCTCAAAGACTGAATTATGTCAAGCATTTCTTCGGAGACTGAATTCCGACAAGCATTTCCTTGGAGACTGAATTCTGAAAAGCATTTCCTTGGAGACTGAATTCCGACAAGCATTTCCTAGGAGACTGAATTCTGACAAGCATTTCCTAGGAGACTGAATTCCGACAAGAATTTCCTTTAAGACTGAATTCCGACAAGCATTTCCTCGGAGACTGAATTTCGACAAGCATTTCCTTGGAGACTAAATTCCGACAAGCATTTCCTTGGAGACTGAATTCCGACAAGCATTTCCTCGGAGACTGAATTCTGACAAGCATTTCCTCGGAGACTGAATTTCGACAAGCGCTTCCTCGGAGACTAAATTTCGACAAGCATTTCCTCGGATACTGAATTCCGAAAAGCCTTTCCTCGGAGACTGAATTTCGATAAGCATTTCCTCGGAGACTGAAACCCGACAAGCATTTCTTGGAGACTGAATTCCGACAAGCATTTCCTCAGAGACTGAATTCCGACAAGCATTTCCTTGGAGACTGAATTCCGATAAGCATTTCCTCAGAGACTGAATTCCGAGAAGCATTTCCTCGGAGACTGGATTCCGATAAGCATCTTCCTCAGAAAATAATGTAGGGAAAACAAAGTTGTGCTCGCTTGGGCCCTACCTCAATGCATATGTATCATTTTTGAGGAATCAGAGTTATCGTAGTTCGGCTCACATGTTTTTGTTTATTTTTTATTTTTTATGAACAATGTTAATTTCTCCTTCTGTCGTAGCTCGACCTTTGGAGACTCACACGATGGCACAAAAGTAAATTAACATGTCCTTACCTAAAAATGGTTTTGATTTATGCCCTCAAAGTAAGATGCCACATTTGATTGGTTTGTGTTTTTTTACCTTGAAAAAGTGTTTAAGTATGCTTAAGATGTTTTATGATTTGCTAAGAAAAAACAAAGTTTTAATTTTAATGCATATGCAAAAGGGGAAGAAAAGAGTCTACTAGAGACTAGCCTAATTCTAATCCTAATGTTATCATACAATGGTGGTCCTAAGGTTTGGATTAACTAAAAGGAAATGTCTACCTAATGTTAGCGTGCATGGCTAGCAACCTAAGGTTTAGCTCACATTCGAAAGGAACAAGCACGTCCTGAAGGAAACATGGTATAGAAAGCAAGCGAACAAACTAGCTCGAAAGAGAACACACATAAAATGGTAAAGAAAAGAAGTGAAATGCTTTAGTCAAGGGGAGTGGATTACCTGAGACAAACAAGCGGGAGTGAAATACAAAAGAATAGAAATGCTTTAGCCAAGGGGAGGAGATCATTGGAATCAAACAAGCGAGAATGAGATGAATTATAAAAATGTGATGTCCAAAGAAACTGAACACCTAACCAAGATATAGAATATCGAGGTAGGCAATATAAAGCAATATGAACAATCACAGAGTGTTAACATCAGCCAATGTGAACTCCTGACAAAGTGTCGGGGTTTGATTGTAAAACCCTTTTCCATTTGACGACTCGATAACGAAAGTATGAACAACTCTGAAGTATCGTGGTGTGTCACGAGCTAAGGATGGCACAAACGAAATTGCAAGGGTTGATTACTAACCCTTTCCGCTCGCCTCCTTTTGAGGACTTATCATCTGTAACATATGCGAGCACAAATGTAATCACACCTGCAAAATACCTGCACAAAGGTTGGGTTTTAAACAAACCACATACAAGTAGAACACAGTGGCAAATAATGCAGAATTTCCCTAAACATGTCTTTAAATAAACCAGAGGGGTTCCTGACATGATCAACAATGGAATCCCCATCATGCACTCAAAAAGCGTTAAAGTGCAGAAAGGATAAACTAGGATCAGATGATACCGAACAAACAATAGTTCATAGCACAGCAAGCAAAGCAGAGAAACCCGAAAAACTACCTGCAAGCTTCACATCAACCAAAGAGAAATAATTGAAAAATCGGATGTAAAAGATAAGCATCGAAGCATCTATGTGAAAACATATCACATGCATCTGAATCATCATGTAATAGTCCTGCACAAGATACAAAATTATACAAGCACGAATAATCCGCTAATCTCGTGGTGCGGGAAATCTCCATCGAAAGCTTGCACAAAATACACCAAACGAGATAACAATTAACAAGGAAACATAAATCAACTCAAGCATCGGGTCATGATCAACACCTACAATTAAAAGACTCATCATACCAAGGAAACTGATTCAAGGAATTGACAAGATCGCATTAAAATCCTAATCTTAAACATATGCCAAACATTAGTTCAATTAATTCCTGAACTAATAGAAAAATAATGGAAAAATATCATCAAGTCAGAAATCAACATATCAATATTCACACAAAAGTTTAGCCAAAAATCATCCGCAAAAATTGCTAAAAATCAAGAACAAAAGATGAAATTTAAAGAATCATGGTGGTTCATGGATCATGGATGGAGTGTGAATAACAGTATATGCTTCCAAGACCATAGAGTTATAAGCCCCAAGCCCAATCCAACATTTATAATTTTAAATATTTCTTATTTCTATTAACTAGAAAAGAAAAAAAAACTTAACTAAAGGATATATGTGAAACGGCTGCGTTTGGGATAGGTTAAGGAGTGGGACCTTTAAGCTTCTTCGATGCCCTCTTCTCTGAAAATACATAACAGCGACTACTTATCTTCCGACTCAACCTCGCCATGAGCTCCTTTTTCTCCATCGTCTCTCCTTCTGTATCACCTCCGATCGAATCAAATACCGCCACTCGAATCCGCTCACCCACCGCAATTTACGTCATCTTCGAAGCTTAGTTTGCTCCGTCTTCCTCTTGTCTTCACTATTCTTTGGTTTTGTGATTGTGTGCGTTTGCTTTGGAGAAGAGCTTCAATTCATTGATGAAGCTTGAAGAAAAAGACGTTGCGGTTGTGAAGATGATGATGATGCGAATAAGAGAGAAGTAGATTGTGCATGTTGTTATTGAAATGTGAAGATGATGTTGAAGCTTTGAAGATGCGACGGAGGTAAAGTATTTACGAAAAGATTGCAGAAGGTTAGTTTCCTGATACATTTCTTCTGTGAATAATGATCCCTTTCCTTTGAGTTTTTCTGAGTGAAAGTGGTGAATGAATTGTGTTCTGGTTTTTTCAGAGAGAAAAGCTTGAAGAATCTCAGAGTTCTTGATGAAGTGTTGTCGTGATTTTCAGGTAAAAATCTGAATTTTTATTCTGTTAGAGTATTTTTGGAAAACAGTTAGGATTAATCTGATCTGAGCCATAGGATTAGAAGTTTGTTATGCCAAAATGAAAGGTGAGGATGAGAGGTTTGAGAGTTAGTTATTCTGTTTGGAAGTTAGTTTGTTGGTTTTCTGTTACAAATTTTGTTGAACTGTTTTTCCTTTCTCATCATTTCCTTCTCTTTTATGTTGAACTGGATTTTCTCTTTCCTATTTTTCTATTACGGTATATTGAACTGAATCGGTCTGATTAGGTCGTAAAAACTTTGGAAATTACTACGAAGCCCTCAATGCAGTAGGCCTAGTAACATGGTTTATGTAGTTTTAAGCTTCACTCCATTTTTTCTATTTTCTGATTAAAATTTGAACTGGTTTAGATAGGTTGCAATGCGCAGATTTTGTTGTGGGGCTGGTCTATGCGTAGTTCTTGTGCAGCAAGATACAGTTTTGCAAGGTTTTATGCTGCTATGGAACTAGTTTTGAATTATCTCTATGAACTGTTGTGGATGTCGGCTCTAATTGAAATACGGCTGTTTTGGTACACGTGCTATGTTTTGATGCTCGGTGCAGGCTGCTAGATGAAGCTAACATTTTGAATGTATGGAATATCAGTTTCTTCTGATTTTATGAACAAGATACGAGGCAGTAGCTTTTCTCTAGTGCGGAGGATCTTTGGATGCATGCCTAAACAAGAAGAACCATGAAGAGGTGGGCTGGTGGAATCAAAAGAATAGCTTTGTTTAAGAATCAAAGCCTAGAAAATCAATGATTAATCATTCAAAAATTTGTAATTCTCTTTGTAGTTTTCAACATTCATCTTGTAAATGCAATTGTGCTCAAACTTTTAATCGAATAGTAGATGTAAATCTTGAATTACATTTGTGACAAAATTGGAGTTTAAATCCTCATTATAATATAATCATGTTAAAATGCAAACATAACATCACCATGAACTTAAAAAGTTCAAGTTGATCTTCTTTACAATGTGCAGATTTTATGGAGACTTATATTTTAAGAAGCAATGTGACTCCTATTTTCTTTTCACTCTCAATTTGAGATCCACTTTATCTTGTTTCCATTATAAAAATGCTGACTCATGAGCTTCAATTTCAATAGGTGTTTCCCTACACCATGTATATATCAAACCCTTGTATGATAGCCAAAGAGACAAATAGTAGCCTGAGAAAAAAGACCACGAATTTGTACTTTGCTGATGAACAAAACCCAAGATTCCAAGAAACCTACCAAACATACTTAATTTGTTACTCCCCTCATGAAAATAGGGAAATAAACCCTAATTACAATGATAAGTTCAAGCCTAATAATGAATCATCTCACTCCATGATTCACAAGAATTTCAAATGAACATAAGCCCTTAAAGGTAGTCAAAACTTCGATTCCATGGCCACTGATACATGCAATGCCAAATGACCTATTGGAGAATGTGCATATAAAAATGCAAGACGCATAAGCTAGGTAGTCCTTAAAAAGAGGTATGACAAATTTGGGATATTACATTTGCCCCTATTTAATCGTCTAAAACCTGAAGGTGATATTGACGCTAGCCTTTCGAACATTCAAGGTAGAAGAAGATTAAATATCAAGACCTGAAATTTTTCTTGAAGAGACAGTGTGAACGGTATTATATATTTTTTGTAATACTCTCTAGGGAAAGGAAATTTTTGTTTTTCCTGGTGAGAAGGGTTTAAGGGTAACTTTTAACATAGCGACAATGCTAATACAAGAGAACCACTGACTTATAACATAGCAGTGATGCCATTACATGGAAAAGATAGACTTGTAACATGGCGTGATGCCAATACAAGACAAAGATTAGACTTGTAACGTGGCATAATGCCAATACAAGACAAAGATTGGACTTGTAACATGGTGTGATGCCAATACAAGAAAAAGGTAGACTCGTAATGTAGTGTGATGCCAATACAAGACAAATATTGGTACGAAAAGACGATGGATAAGATCTACGAATGACCTACGATCCTGCGGTGAAACATAAGAGCGATCTATCGGAGAACTAGGCTTATGGGTGACCTCAAAATTCTATGAAGAGACCTATGGGGGGTCTGCTGAAGAATTAGGGCTAAGGGCGACCTCAGAATTCTAAAACAATATCTATAGGGAGAACCTGGCCTACGGGCGATCTCAAGGTTTTGAGATGAAACCTCGTCTACTAGAGAACTAGGCCTATGGGCGACCTCAAAATTCTACGATGAGACATCAAGGTGATCTGTTGGAGAACTAGGCTTATGGGCGACCTCAGAATTCTAAAACAAGATCTATAGGGAGAAGCTGGCATATGCGCGATCTCAAGGTTATAATATGAAACCTAATCTACTGGAGAACTAGTCCTATGGGCGACTTCAGAATTCTACGATGAGACATCAAGGAGATCTGTCGGAGAACTAGGCCTAGGTGTGACCTCAGAATTCTAAAACAAGATCTATAGGGAGAATCTGACCTACGGGCGATCTAAAGGTTCTAATATGAAACCTCATCTACTGGAGAACTAGGCCTATGGGTGACCTTAGAATTCTACGATGAAACATCAAGGCCATCTGTCGGAGAACTAGGCCTATGGGCGACCTCAGAATTCAAAAACAAGATCTATAGGGAGAACCTGTCCTACCGGAGATCTCAAGGTTCTAAGATGAAACCTCATCTACTGGAGAACTAGGCCTATAGGCGACCTCAGAATTCTACGATGAGACATCAAGGTGATCTGTCGGAGAACTAGGCCTATAGGCGACCTCATAATTCTATAACAAGATCTATATGGAGAACCTGGCCTACGGGCGATCTCAAGGTTCTAAGATGAAACCTCATCTACTAGAGAACTAAGCCTATGAGCAAACTCAGAATTCTACAATGAGATATCAACGTGATCTGTCGGAGAACTAGGCCTATGGGCGACCATAGAATTCTAAAACAAGATATATAGGGAGAACCTGGCCTACGAGCAATCTCAAGGTTCTAAGATGAAACATAAGTTACGACATGACGAGTGAAGGTACAAGGGAATACCGATTGTACTGATTTTATTGGGATCTGGAGGGAAAATAGATATCGACGAGTGTTTGTAAAAGCTGACACGAACGAGGGTTTAGAAGTACAATGCACTGGCACCGCCAGCCGGCTATCGTGATGTATCGAAGGATGTCAGCTGGGGATTTGGGAGCGATATCCTATTATGGGGATGTATTATTGTCTTTGAATGATTCAGGTATTTCGTGTAAGGTGCTCGATCTGGCTTATGCTCTGTATGCTTGTTTGAATTTCTTTTGCCGCAAAGATCCACTATGATGGATCAACTATGTGCTTTTGAAGATGCAATGTTATGCGGTGATAACTATATGCAGTGCAAAGAAATAGACTTCATGGGGATAAGAGAAGACTCGTTGGGAACGAATGCTCATCAATGGGGATGCCAATATGTATCGGCGCTGGAAACTCGTAGTACCAAGGATCACTAGGGATACTGATAAGAATTACACTAGGGAGCTCGTGATACCAAATATTTTTGGTGACTTCGCTGGAGGTTGAATTGCTGACGGAGCCATTTTTCATATACGCTGCTGAATTCTAAATTGTATTGTTGTGGAAGAGATAATCTAGCCTGACTTCTCTACATCCTAGACCGCTTGGAGGATGGTAGAACTGAATATGCTAAAGAACGGATACTAAACACCACGTGGATACATGCCCCAAGTTTACGACACACTGGGGGATTACCTCTCAAACCACTTGGGGATAAAAATATGGATATGGACACCTGCGAGTGCCTCGGTTTGCTCCATTGGGGATTCCCCAGTTTACTCCACGGGGATGCCCTGGTTCAGCTCTGCGAATTCCCTGGTTTAGCTCTTGGGGGACGTGCACTTGTGCATGCCAATTCAAACGATGATTTAGGACCTTTTAAATTCACTTGGGGAATCATGTTTGAAATTTCCTGTAGTAGATGAAGGTGACTTCACGCGCTGGCTAGGTCAGGGTGACCATTATCAGTTTCTACCTGCAAAGAAAAAACAACACTTGGAATGCATATGACACTCCCTCGTGGTTTCCTATCAACGTAAAGTCAAGTCTTATCTTAGCTTGGAAAAAAATTATTTCCCGTGTTTCTAATGCAATGTTTAATAACGAATAAAACACATTTCGCATACGAAAAACATTTTATGATAATAAAAGACAGCTTTTTGATGAATTTTTTTTATTGATTGACAATTGGCCTATAAACAGGCATTTGTACAAGGATGCAACTCCTATGAGTTAATTGTGAAAAAGAAACGAAAAATACAACAGGTACAAATGGCAATGAGAGATGCCCGAATTTCCCTTAAAACCGGTATTGCTACAGTTCTCACATCCTTAGTAGTCTCAATGCCTCGCCTCTGAAGAGTAGCAGTTGGACGGATCAGTTCACTACCAAGGTGATACATATGTGCATGTGTTATTCTTGAAGAGTATTTAGACTAAAGCCTCTCGCTTATGATCCCTAACTTTTGCTTGGACTTCCCTTTCGGGTTTTCGATCCAACGGGATACCCATTTTTGCCTAAGTCACCCTTTTGGGTTTTCAAATTAGCGGGTTATTATATTTTTTCATTTTATCCCTAATTTTTTCCTGGAATTTCTTTTTATGTCCACCGGGATGCCCATTTTTTCCTAAGTCTCCCTTTCGGGTTTTCGACTTAGCGGGTCTTTTTATGCATAGTATTTTTTGACTGAGTCTGAATTGACTTGAAGTAGATCGCCTTCCCCATCCATGTCTGTCAGGATTAGAGCACCTCCTGAAAAGGCTACCTTCACGATATATGGTCCCTCATAGTTGGGAGTCCATTTGCCCCTTGGATCGGAATGGCTTTGCACGATAACCTTTCTCAATACTAGATCACCAAGATAAAACTTTTGAGGACGGATCTTCTTGTCAAATTCTCTCTTCATCCTATGTTGATACAATTGGCCATGATAGATGGCTTCCAGATGTTTCTCGTCAATCAGATTGAGCAAGTCAAGTCTTGTCTGAACCCACTTCGCCTCATCAAGCTTGGTTTCCATCAGAACCCTCAACGAAGGAATCTCCACTTTAACAGGAAGCATTGCATCTATATTGTAGACAAGAGAAAATGGAGTTGCTCCTGTTGAAGTACGCACAAATGTTCTATAGACTTGCAGAGCAAAAAGAAACATTTCATGCCAATCTTTGTACGTTCTGACCATCTTCTGGACGATATTCTTTATGTTCTTATTAGCAGCTTCAACTGCACCATTCATCTATGGTCGATATGGTGGTGAATTGTGATGTTCAATTTTGAACTCTTCACATAACTCCCTCATCATGTTGTTGTTAAGATTATAACCATTATTAGTGATGATTCTTTGAGGAGTTCCATAACGACATATGATTTCCTTCCTGATGAAATTGGTAACGACCTATTTGGTTACATTCTTGCAAGAAGCTGCTTCCACTCATTTGGTGAAATAGTCCATAGCCATAAGAATGAACCTATGACCATTTGAAGCACTCAGTTCAATCCTTCCAATCATGTAAATGCCCCACA